TCTGTGCAACTGGCCCACCGTCCTGACCAACATTACCAGATTCACAACCCTGTACACATGCCCCTTCAGAAGGTCTTGCGCTGGATACCGTCTCAGTCGAGCTGGATGCTGCCGAGGCCGATGCATGATCGTCATTAGGTCGCCCTTCATCACGGCTGTTCACAACATCTTCATCAGAAAGGAGGGTCCAAGTTAAACCCATCGTCACCGGCGCCCGCAGTGACCGGTATCCCGAACTTCGTGCGCAGGGTCAGGTCTCCTTGAATTGCCATGTGCATCACCATCCTCTGCCGTTTCACCGACCTTGCTTCTTCACCAGTGCCTCCGTGCTTCGCGTCCCAGAGACTCCAATCATCGTAGGTTTGTGCCCTAGCAGCGTCCAAGGCTTCCAGACTGGCAATGTCAGCATCTTCTTGTAGCTGGAAGTCTTCTTCATAACGCTCCAGCTGCTCTGCCAACCGCGCGTCCGCCACTGCCATTTCCTGGGCCTCCTGTTCCCGACGTATCCCCAGTTCCTTCTCCACCATCTGGTCCATCATCTCTGCGTCCCGGCGCCCTTACACGTAGGACGGCTCATGGAATCATCTTAGCTATCCTGTATTGTTTCCACTGCTTCCTTCACCTCTTCCTTGGCAAGCTTCGCCTCCGCCCTGCAGGTTGCCTCTTCAGAGGCGATGGAACTCTGGAGCTGCTTCCACCGCGTGGCACACCATTGTCTATCTTCCACATTTTCCACCGAGTCATCCACTGGGTAGCTGTCCACATCCGCATACGCAACGATGGCCGCCTCAAGGCTCTTCGCCCTTTGCCCCATTGCCATTCGTCCCACATGTAGCCCATACCTTTTCGCCAAACTCAGCCCTGGCTCTGGCCCTTGATTCCAGCAGGGCAGACAACTCATCCGTCAAGAATTGCAGCTGCACACCAAAAGTCGATGGCCCACTGTCTGCTTGGACCACCTTCGCAGAAGCCTGCATCAGATTGCTGTCGTCACTCTCCTCATCCGGCTCGCCTTCTTCCACAGGTCCACCCGGTTCTTGCTGGAGTTGGTCAATCCTTTCTGGCATCATCTCGCCAATCTGTGCCATCATCAGACCACTCAACTCTTGACACTCACATCTGCCATGTTCCATGTAGCAATCGTAACTCTATCCAGCTGCCATCCTGGGTACCCCATCTGGCTCTCGTCCTGGTAGTCCATCATCTCATTCCACAAGGCCTTAGCTGCATTCACGGCAAAGGTGTGCACCTCTGGTCCTTTGACATGGGAACTCTCAGTCCTGTTCTCTTCCACATTGACAACTTCCTTTCTCGCGCGTCTTGCCGCTGCAGAGCCTTCCCTTCCACGCTGCGTGGCCCTAGCCTTTTTTTCTGCTGCTTTCCTTTGCCCTTCGATCTTGGCGGCGACGGCTCTCGTACATGCCTGCCAGGATCTCTATCTCTGTGTCGCCGTCTGTGCTCCACATCACGAGGTCGCAGCCACTTGTCCCAGGACCGATCTCTGTGCCTCCGAGGTGGTGGCTCAGATCTCCACTCCATAAGGGACACGGCGTCCTGAATGCCTTCATCAACCTCCACAACGTCCATCGGCATTCTTTCCTCCATGATTGGCGCGACCATTTCTGCCTCGCACACTTCTTCATGTTTGACTACACCTTCTGGCGCCACATCATCCGCCCCGGCATCCTCCGGACGATCAGCATCCACCGCAACCACATCCATGCCGCCCCGTAATTGTTGCTGCCACGCCAGTCCTCCAGGACCGGTTGTCTTCGGAGGTATCGTCTCGAGGCTGCCCTGCACAGTCTCCTCACCCTTGCCCAAGAGTCGTCAGCCCATTCCGAATTGGCATTGGTGCGAACATTCATGTGATTCGCAAATACTCTGAACCACGCTGATTGGATTGCCTCCAGGTGCCTGCTCACTTGCCTTAGGCTGGCAAGGCGACTTCGTAGTCCGCTTCTGATCATACATGCCAGGTCGCGCGCTACTTTGCGAACGTCTTCATCTCTGGTTCTGCGCATTCTGTCGGCAAGCTCATCTCCTAGTTGGTCCACCAGATCTTCAGGTAGTAGGCCGGGTTGTCTTCTATTAACTGGTATTTCCATCATCACCAACGTGTCCTCATCCAAGCTCGTCCCCTTGGTGTTCGCAACGTTCTGGGAGCCGTTGCATTTTCCAGAGCTCATAGGGATGGGCTCTAAAGTGGTGCCAGTCTCAGGCGCGGAATGCTGTTGCCACGGGTGATCCCCTTCTACTACCATGGCCTCGTTATTGCCCCGGATCGGGCTATCGCACGCGGCGCACATGGTGAGGGTCGTCACGATGCAATAGCGCTCTTCACCTTCAGCAGGGCTCCTCGTCACGCCGTAATTCATGCAGATCATGGCCCCCAGATTTTCAATCTCGTAGCTTTGACTGTCTAAATCCCGCTTGCACATCCATCCATGTGCCCCAGGCATTTCCATTCCCAGCCACAATGGCATTCACGCTGGTCATCTCCCCAGGACGCAGAGGAGTGGACTCGCCCATGGTGACAGTCTCACGCGCGGCGCACGTGGCGATGTCAATCGCTATGTCCTGACATGATGCCCTTCACATTCAGCAGGGGCCCGGGCCAAGCCGTAGTCCGCATAGATCATGGTCCCCAGATTCGTGATCTCATAGCTCTGGTTGTCTGCGTTTCCCTGGCACATCCAGCCGAGCGCTGCAAATCTCTTCCCATTTTCAGCCACAGCGGCGTTCACGCCGATCATCCGGACCTTCCTTCCTCCGTTTCACTTGCCATACACATTAAGATCTCGTTGAGGAGGCGCCAAATGCTGACTTTCCGGCTGGTTGCCTACAAGCCTGCACCACAGGTCACAGCCCTCACACCGCCACAAAATTTGGTTTGCGCGCGTTTTGTCATTGGAAATCTTCACCTGGCGCGTCATCATACCAAGCCATACCAAGCAGCACGAGACAACTCGCACCATCCAAATCAATACGGTCTTCGAGGTTTGGCACTGCTTTTTGTGCGCAGCCGTATGCATCCACACTCCAAGCTTAACTGCACTGTGGTCCGTCATCATGTTCTTCCACAGCGCGGGGACCACTGCATGGTCCAGTTGCACTTGCTCCCCTGCTGGCCGCGTGTGTGTGATCCTCTGCTTTGTTGTTTTCTGCATCCATGTTTATGGGAGACAAAGATCTTCTTGGAAAATCAGCTCAAAGAACTTGATGCGGTTGGAATCTCCCTCAGTTTCCACTTGAAGGGACTCCTCTTCAAGAGAGTTCTCCCAATGGACGTGTGGACCAACAGCACCTGCAATGGAGGAAAGCTCATCCAATGGCTGTGCATTGAAGTCTCCAATGACCAGAAAAGCCTGGCTCCTCTATTGGTTGCGGATGGTGCCTGTGAGCTTTTCCCAAAACTCATCTCACTTTTTGCTCTCTGTGAGTGTGTGGTGCGCGCACAGCATAAACTGTGAGTGGAGCTTCAGCAGTGTCTATTGTGAATGACAACAGCTTTCCACTGTGCACTGTGAGCTCAACGATTGCTGGTGTAATGTGTGGCGCTGTGACAAGTGAGACCCCTGTGAAAGTTTGCTTCAACTTTCCTGCATCATCAAACCCCCGTCTACCAGGGCTTGGGAATACTTTGCGGCTTCCTGCTGCACTAGTATAGCCTAAGGAACCTCCTTGTGGGCAACATGAGCGGAGTGCGTAAAAGAACTGAGGGCGTCTCGGGCACGGATACAATGCCGGACGCGGAGTCGCCTAAGACGTTGAAGATTTGACCAGGGGTTGTGAGTCTGCAGATGTCTGATTTGAGATCCCTCTTGCGTGAACAATCTGAGAGTATTCTGCAGTCCCATAAAGAGCAGTCTGGTTCAAGCGGGAAGGGAAGGTAGGCTAGCGACGTGGCTGCGCCTATCCGCAACGCCAGAGCAAGCGGAAGCGGTACAGCCCTGCCTAAGCAAGTGGAAGAGGTACAGCCCTTCCAATAACCGCATAGGGCGCGCCGTGCCCAGTGGAAACCTCCACTGACAAGATGGTGTCAGTAGTGTGCACGCATGGACCCACCAAGGGCGCCGAGAAGGACTTTTCTTGGAAAAGTCTGCAAACAAGCAAATCCATGTTGTACGGCGCGCAAGGCGCAACCGAATTGCTTGGGGAGTCATAACCGAATTGCTTGGGGAAGTCATGGACAATGGAGGCTGTTGTGGACAGGCAGCTCCTTGCAGTTGGAACTGGCTGAGTTCCGTAGTTGCACTGAGGCCACATTGAGATTCATCATTTTCCGCACAGACCCGTCCAACCCGCAAAGAATGACTGATGAAAGAATGACTGATGGCAGCGGTAGGACCATTAGGTATTTGGGAATCCTCCACAGGTCTGTCCAAGCGGGAAGACCAGAAGAGCATTAGCGCTACACAAAAACGCCGGAGCAGTGTCTTGGTAAATAGTTTCGCAACGCAGGAAGAAAGCACAATTGTCCTGAGGTGCTCGGGCAAGGACGGTGTTGGAACTTTGGGCAGGAAAACTACCACATTCTGAAGCCAAGACTCTGGGAAAGTCTTTTCTTCCAACAGCATCTCCTTAAGGCATCGACTAGTTCATCCACTGGGTCTGAGTGTAGGATGGTATTGAGAGCTTCGTACGTGACACCAACACTTCCCGTGCTTTTTTTACTGGGGCATGTAGTGACAATCTCTCTGAGTTCCAGGACCTCTATCAGCATGATCACCATTGTGGGCTGGGCATGTACATGCAGTATAGCCTGCGCTGACTGGCTCGGTGTGTCGTGACTGCTGCTGTATTTTGTCCGATAGAAGGCTTGGAGGCCATTGACTGCTCTAGCCTGCCCCCCTGCCCGCTGCGCATACGCCTGGCGCGCAAATGGTGTGCCTTGCCTCTTTCGCAAGGCAAGCAAAGCCTGCGCATCACCCGCCGCTGCTTTACGAACTGCGTCTGTCAGCCAATCCTTTCTTTTGAGCTGCCTAAGGGCTTGGATTTCAAGAGCGGCTTGCACCCTCGCCTCCCCTCTGAGTAGCTTCCTGCAACGAATGAGCTCTTTAATTTCGGGTGACTGGAGTTTCGGGCTTAGGGTTTTAGGATTTAGGTACGGTATACCACCATACCTTGGAGTAATAGGAGTAGTAGTAAGGGTACTTAAAACCCTTGAAAAGCATATAGCAACCTCTGTTAATAAGTCCCCTTGATCCGCCAGAGCTTTGGATCTTCACACTCTGAGGGTCAGGGTCTCAGGGTCAGGATTTAGGCTTTAAGTTTCTGGATCAAGGGGACTTGTTCATTCTAGGGATACCAGAGGTTGCCATATGCTTTTAAGGGGTTGTAAGTATACTCTAAGTCCGCTTGACCTTCCTAGTAAAGCAGAATCGCGAGTCCTCAGCCCAAGTAGGGACTACAATATATTGGTCCCCATTTTATAGAACTACAACTTCTAAACCCAAACACTTGGATCCGAAAACCCTTTTGCATCCAGCCTGCGACGCCTCTGCTGGGAAAGCGACTCCCCTGTCCCTTGCTCCGAAAACCCTAAACCCTGAATCTGCCCTTGCTTCAGAATGAGGATTTGAGGTTGAGAATTTCACAGTTGTACTTGGGGTTGTGGCTTGGTTAATTGAAGGTTGGTAGGACGCCAGAAATGCCCGACAAAATGCATCTAGAAGGAGGACCGAACATCGGTCCGCCTTTGGCAGAGTCCGGAGAAGAAAGGTATACCCCGTCTGAACACATGTCTGGGTTTTCCGAAGCCCCGGCTAATTCCATTACGCAGGGCCAAGCGGCCCTGTTACGTAAACCGGCCGGTTCCTGTTACGGAATTGGGGCCAGTTCCTGTTACGCTCCACTGTTACGGACAATCGTTTGTTGTTACTCTCCTCCCACCACAAGCAGCAGCACCACCACCAGCAGCAGCAGCAGCAAGAAACGGATACATGCAAACGTCGAATCGAACATATTCACCTGAGCAACTCTGCAATACAAGAGAGTCAGTAAAAGATCACCCTAGAAAAGCAAGAAGTCGCAACAATACTGCTATGTATGAAAAAACCGCAAGCCTTTGGGCTCCTCATGGTGGGCCTCAGCACGCAATTGCGCTGACTGAGGATGCCAGTTTTTGGACTTGCCGGCATAGGGTCTTGGGCTTGGGCCAACAGGCCATGAGGTCGATGATGCAAATCTGTAGCACCAGAGTATCAAGGGCTCAGAAACGACCGAAGCGCTGCGGTTTCTGAGCAACAAAAAAGTGCGCGCAAGTCCAAGCGCGCCTTGCTCCCGATCTTCTTTGAGACCTTTGATGTTCTCGATGACATGGCGGCCGGCATGCGTGATCATGGAGTCGTGCCTCGGATCCACTGGTGTTTGACATAGAGGTCAGGAATCTCAGTGCTATGAAAAAGTGCCCAGGAACAACATTTCATCAACGTCGAGGATGAAAGCCATGGACATGGCACCGAGGACTGTGTCCAAGATTCCAGAAGTGTCCATCAATAACAAAGTGCCCTCGAGCAGAACCTGCAGCACGTGCAAAACACAAGACAGCTTGTTACGACTGTCACGTGGTGAGCCAAAGCACGAAGTAGCACAACGCAAGCTTCGGTATGAACACAAGAATGCCGGTGATGATCTTCCAGTGGCAAGGCATGCCTGCAATACCTGTCCAGACAAGACACATTCGTTTCAGCGTCTGCAGGAATTAGAGATGCTTGTCAGACATGGCCAAGGTGCGGTAAACAGGTTCACCTTTGGTGACTTCGAGCCAGTTGCATTTGTCTGGACTGCTCGGCCTGGGTGGCAACAGATTAGCTCTCTTATTACGATGGTACGGCCGAACATGTGCCACAGTAATCGCCACGGCGCAAATACCATAGCATTGCCAACATTCGAAAGCAGACTTGGATCCTGGGGTGGCCGACCCACGTGCGTATGTGCTCAGCCTAGCCTGTGACCCATCACCTAAAAATCTTGCGTCGTGCTTGACTTCTGGAAGCGTGTTGCGACGTGTTTCTGTGCCACGCGGCTCATGATTGACCGAGAGGACGAAGAGAAACAAGCAAAGCCAGCGGCAGCTGTGGTTTTCCAGTCCGTACTCTCCCGGGTCCACTTTCTCTTCAATAACTTTTTCCTGCTTACAGGCCAACAAGCTGACAGCCAGATGCTGAAAGGATGGCACAATACAGAGGAGTGGCAGCCCGTTACTGTGCTGACATGTTAAGACACATTCACCGCAACTTCACAGTAGTTAAAACTTCAAAACCCACGAACTCACATGCACGCTGCACGCGCACACGGTGGGGCGGGCAGCAAGAGCATCGGGCTGAACCTCGCCTGCGCGAGTGGCCTTCCCCTTAAGCCCCTCTCCGACACCTCATGAGATTGATAACTATCTTTGACCTTTGATTTAGATTGCGTCGGGGACGTTTGCCGCAACCAATGCTGTTGGATAGTTGTCGACAAGCTATGCAGTGATGTGCAGGGGGTGGGGGTGGCAGGGAAAATGAGGACCTGCAGGCCAACATCTCGACATTTTACTACTTTTCAAGACAACCAACACAATCTCTAAACATCCAGCTCTTGCAAGCCGCATTCCATAGCCCCAGTGTGGTGCAGAAGCAGTGAAAAGTCATGGCAGGCGCAGCAAATTTGAACCTGAAACCAGAAGTGGTGAGGTAGAAATCTTGAGCACGCATGTCACGCAATATCAGGAATATGTAGAGAACGTATACATTCCGTGTCTTCCAACTTGGCATTTGGAAGAATGGCACCCCTCCCTTTGTTTTGCGGCAGCGCAAGTCGGGACATCTGGCAGTATGCACGGAGCGTATACGTTCTTTACATACTCATGATACTGCATGACATGCTTGCTGAAGGTTTCGCCTTCTTGCAACTTCTTCTTTCATGTCCAGGTAACCAACTTTACCGTGCTTGCCACGACTTTTCACTGCTTCTGAATGACACATTGCCCCTGCTTATCCGCCCCTGAACAGACGTGTCGCGGTCCCAAGCTCCGCGAACACGACGTCTCTTGAATGAAGTAATTAGGTATAGCCTTTAGCGGGAGTTGGCAGAGTTACATGGCCATCATTTTCTCACGATCGTATCGCCTGTTTAGTAGGGTGGCACTAGGAGTTTCCACACAGCTATGCTTACTATCTTGTTTGCAGAACCCATCCCTGATGTTGTACATTTCTCCCGGCGAGCGTCACAGGAAACCTAATGAATGGCACTTACATTAGATGAGTGTTGGTATTTACACTGAAGATACGGCTGAAGATACTTCCCTGGAGCCTGTTCAACAAAGTCATAGAACTCATAAAACCTATCAAAACGGCCAGCTGCAAAGCGCTTGGTGCGTGACACTGTGATACTGGCATTCCAGAACTCTGGCCCATCATTTCGTAAGTTGAGCTCTTTCCTTCTGGGTTACCATCGCTAAGAGAATCTCCACATGTATACATTTTGGCGGGCCCGGGAAATGTACAGGCCCAAACTACTCCCCTTTGTGTACATTGCTTACGCGTTGGTCTCCCACGCTGCACTCACAGACGTCGACGTGAAAGGTACAGTGCAGCAATGTGGACGCTTGCCCATGGCCGGTGAGTGTGTGCACAGCACGTCAGTCAGCAAACCATCCATTTGACTGCGGGCTGAGAACTCACGCAACCTGAGCTTGAGGGGCGAGCCGAGGCCAACGAAAGCTAGCCGGGCTCTATCTAGCACTGGAGTAGGGTAGGAGAGGAGAACCAGCCTAACTCTGACTTTACTCTGGTTTCCACCCTGACTCCAGAGACCACTCCAGTTTCCATTCCACTTATTCACTGCCTGCATCACTCCCCACTCCACTCTGCAATGCACTTTCCACTCCACTCTCCAGTCTATACTCCACCCTCCACTGCTTTTCCACCTCACTCTCCACCGCACTTTCCCCTCACACCTGTCCCTTCCACTCCATTCCATTCCGCACTGGCGCAAGTAGCATAATCCAGGCATTCTCTGCCAATGTCAAAGAGCCAGGACAGGCCGACAGTGGGCATGTCTTTCATGAGGTGGAGACACGAGGCTCCAAAAGTGGCGACAGTTGCCATGATGGCGACCCCAAGGGGTCTCATCCCTGTCACTTTTCACGGGCAACAAGGAGGTGACTCTCCAAAAGCAGATAAACTTACCAAGATGGCTACCCCAAATTGCAGCAGCTCTGTGACTGTTGGCACTGCGAATCCCCGCCCCGCCCGGCCCCACCCCCTCTGACTGAATGCACCTTTGACACGCGACGCAGCAACGACGGTCCCAAAGCGACAACACCTGTACAAGGATGGTGACAGCACGAATGCTTGGGAGAGCTTGCGAACACTTGTGGACGCGTTGCGGACGCTTTGTGGACGCTTGCGGAAACGTGCGCAATGAGTTTGCTCGGCCATGGGTTCCTAGATCGCAACATTGAGAACTGGACCCGTTCCGCAGATCACTCAGCAATAGGAAGGTGGCATGGAACAACCAAGCAAGATGTTACTTGTANNCGGGAACACTATGAAAGGGGAAGAGTGGTTTGATTCAATAACGGACAATGAACTTACCCGTTCTCTGGCCCAAAAGGGGGGCATAAAGAGAAACAAGATTGGATGCGACCACAAAACAGCATGGTACTCATACAAAGAGCACGCAGGAAACAAACACCAAAAAGAAGCAGGCGACATGCAACGACCAGGCATGACGTGCTCGGTGCCGTGACCGTTCAAGGGCATGCACTATCAAAGACGGAGTAGGGAGCGTCAGTACAACCATCGAGCTTACTGCCATTCATACCATGCTCATGCACGGGCAGGTTTAGCGAGCACCACAGGATTGCCAGGCAAAGGTATCGAACACAACCGAAAGAGGGAAAGGTGCAAGGCAACAACCCGGCATGATGATGCTTGCCGGGTAGTGATCACTACAGAGGGGCCAGGGAGGTTTGACGCAACGACGACCAGCACGGTTTATGTGTATCATGACTTTGCAAGGGTTGTGAGCACAAAGGGGAGCAAAACCTTTCAAACCACCTGCATCATGCGATCCGTATTGTCAACTTGCTGGGATATGGCAAACGATAGAACAAGTAGGGAGGTTTGACACGATTGTCACACCCGTACCATGACCACACAACCGTGGTGAACTGTGAACCGCGACAGTCCGGAAGTCAGATTTGACCAGCAAAAACGATGTCCTGGGAGTTCAGGAATAGAAAATTAAACTGCTTAACAACCGGAGGAGCACAAACACGTATGGAAATACAAGACGCATCAACAGGCGAAGTAAAGGTAGAAAGGACATGAAAGGACCGGAGTGGAAGGCAGGAACAGGAGCAGACCCCAATGTCATATTTCCGAACAGTATGTAGGTGGGACAACGCAAGCACCTATATCTAAGCCAGGAACTTGTTTTTGGACGCCGACAGGAGCACATTATGTAGATGCGGATAATATCAGAGGGCATATGCTAGCAAATCATTAAACATCATTACTTCTCATGGAATCAATGTCAGTCTTCAATATAATCAAGCAGCAGACCCTACAACTGCAACCATAGCAGCACAAATCAAGCGAGCAGCAGTGGCAGCCTTCAAGGTCTGGAAAACTGCGTAACGTGTGATATAACTAGGACCTATCATTTGTGAGAGAACAACCATAAAACACGAACGCAATATGATACCAAAGAATGATTGCTAATAACAATTAACATGCAATACCAACAGAGGAAATAAATATACAGACGGATAGAACATCCGACCTCACAACATGAACAGCAGCATTACAACTAAGCGACACTCTCAGAATTACAGTTAAGACAGCTATTATAGATAATCACACAGTTGGTAGGATTGGTAATATTGGTGGAAAGGCGGATGCCACTAGTTGGGACGCTTTATGTTTCATAACAGCCGTGAATTGAAAGAAGTGTTGGACACAGAATATACATTATCTATCAGAAACAGCGATGCGTTAACAATGGGATTACAACCATCAACACCAGAGATTAAAGTAACAGACGGACAGGCCAACCTTTCAGGATGTGTAGACATTTCGCATTCGGATGTATCAGAAAGTCAAAGAGTCAAAATGGATCATCCAGACAGCAACGGATAAATATCAGGTCAATTAATACTGCTAACAAATTAGGCAACAAGAGCACTGACATTTACAGGAATTGGAAACTGCGGTGCCATAATTGCAGCATGAGAAATTCTCCGAGGCTATCCAGCCTCAGGGCGTCTGGAACCTTCTAATTAAAAGCCCTCTACTTCTTTGCAGACCCCCCCCCCCTCCCTACTGCTACATGCCAAAACTTCTTCTCTGCTTAGGAAAAATTCAGGAGCCGGTCCTACGGCTCTCAAAGCTTGCGAACTCCCTCACTAAAGGCTGATGGACTAAGCCTAGCCAACCTCCATGAATGCTGAAATAGGCATGCAACAAACACGTCTGAGGTGAGGCTTGCCTCCGGTAATCCCTTGACCCTAAACCCCACGTGTGAACTTCATTCCATGACCTATTCGTGTGCTCAGCGCCCTGCCAGCCGAGGCGGGTGCGCGATAGCGTTTATAAGTAAATGGAAAGAACATGTCAAAGAAATAAGTGACAAATATTGTTATAGAGTTGTTGATAGTTCTTACCATGAGCATGTCAGGGCAGTGAACATTGAGAAAAAAAGATGTGATGCAACAACCCGGCATGATGCTATAGTACAGTTATCCACCAAACATGGCGTTATTCTTACGAAGCCTCTCGTAGAAAGAATCACATTGGACCCCCCCCTCCAAACCTACGATTCCTGTGAAAGAATCACNNCCCCCCCCCCCCCCCGCCCCCCATATCACACGATCCGTCGTTAGACCTTGACAGCTGCTAAAGCAGACTAAACTCAAAGCCACACCCTTTAGCTTTCACGACTTTTGGTGTTCAGTTTAAAAGACTCGGAGTGTCCTGGTCCGGTATCACATCAAGGAGAGCCTGCGCACTCAGAGGCATTGCAGCTGGGCTGTGAGGGTAATGCAAGATGTAATGCAAGATCTGCCTGCTTTGTGAACTTTTGCACTGCCCATTGTGTGTAGCCGTAGAGTCGCGGTGGCGCAAACTGCGTTCCTGCAGTCTCAACGGCTGGCAGCCGGCAGAAACTCAAAACAATGCCAGTACATCTGGAGGCTGAGGCATCACGAAGTGTCCTCCTGGACCAGTACACCGTGGCTGGAAATCGGCATCTGGGCCCTTGCACATATCGAGATCTGCACCAAAGTCGCAGAGGTGCATCCTGAGAGATTTGCCGAAACTTGGCCCGTTCACAAGCATGTATCGGCTTAAGAAATCTGTAAGTCTATAAGTGGAAACGCATGGAAACATTCCAGTCAAACAGAGCAACTGCCCACCCAAAGGCGCCATTATCTGCGTTGCTTCACCTAAATTGCTCGCTATGCAACCAGGCACCACAACGGGCAGTTCCAACTCTCAGCGCCGGGCCCACAAACATCCTTAGTCGCAGGTCCACGCCGACAAGCTGGCTCCAGTCGATTCGGCAAATCCCGTCACTGGCACTGAACCTACACCTGGGACCCAGACACGAGCGAAAGCTGCACCAGGTAGTTGAGCGCCAGTGCCATGTAAGCTCGAATCCAGAGGGTGACAAACCTTTGCACTTATGCGAAGCATGTAAGGCCATGTAACGGAATCTGTCGGCACATGAAGAGTGGGGTGCTGCATGCAAGGCGCACGCTCTTGTAGCCAGAGCTTCTTGCAATTTGGGGAAACGCGAAGGCGCTTCCTGCAGCAAGACTGTCTCAAGTAGTGCTGCTTATGGGCCTATGGGCCACATAGAGGCTCAGGCCATACACTGAGCTCTTCTCGAGCTTGAAGACCTCAAAAATCCCATCCGCGCCATCTGATGCCGAAAAGATGCGCAAGCACAAATCAGACATGCGCATCTGCATAAATGAAACTCGTTCATCAAAGGCCTGGTCACTGGTCTTGGCTTCCAAAACTGCACCAGTCTTCTCAAACATAAACAACAGAATCAAAAAGGCTGAGCAAGCTTGAAACTACAATGCCAAGCGCACGTAGGGAAGATGAACTGACTATGCAACAAGCTCAATGAAACCAAGCAGCTGTCTGGTTGCTCTCGAAATCAAGCAAGCTCTGTGCTGCTTTGGAGACGTCCTGCCGCACACGAAGCTTCTTCACCAAGATGCCAAATGATTTTGCAACAAAACCAAGAATACCAGAACATGCCAGAACGGCACGTGCCCTTCAATCCTATTGATGAAGGAGGGCATTTCCGCAACTTGTGAATGGGTTGGAAAGGCTCATCCAGCCTCCGCACGCTGAGTCTCGCCCTCGTCCTGCTGTAGAACTGCGCTGGATGTAGCCATGGGGAAGGGTTCACGCGGAGATTTTGTCCCAGCCATCTTGAGCCGGAGCCAGAGCGGGCGATTTCAGCTTGCCAACACCTGATGCGCATGTCTCAGGCTACCTGATGGGACATGAGGGCAAAACCGAAGATCACCAAAGGCACCTCGCATGCTGCAGCACAACACTTCTTTGACATGCTCTCGAAAGCTTCAGTCATCAGAAAACGACGTATGCGTGTTGTTGTGGGGACGATATGGGACGATTGGAACTCCAGGAGCGACCCTCGGACGCACGGCCCATCCGTAACACCAAACACTGATATGACACCAGCTGCAACATCACTGCCACGACTGATACCGGTGTTCTCAGCGTTGTTCAGATACTTCCTCGCAACACCCAAGGACCAATGCTGAACATGGCGGCGTATACTAGTGCTGATTCAGGATCAATCCACTCTGTCGCACGATCAGGCAACAAGGAAACCGAACCTTGCACCCGGGAGGGGCCTCCGATAGTTTGCCGATGGCAGACGGCAGATGAGCGGTTGTCCAGCCGGCACAGGTCTGGGTACATGTTCAGTGGCCTGCGGCCTCCTGTAAACGTCCTTCTTGCAAGTGCGACGCAATCTATATGGTCGCCCACCACCAAGACCGCTGTTTGTGCACTTCTGAGGTTTGCGCCGGGAATGGATTTATGAATCCACGATCAGGATGCTCTGCGTAAGAGTTGGCACGCAACCTGAGCTTGGTCTAGTTGCGAGGTATAGTTACAGAGGAACTTGCTGATTCCTGCTAAGGCTGCTGCGCTCGCTGAGCATCAACATGTAGCAGGCCAGGTGGGTTTTCCTGATACATCTAGTTTGAAGAGCTGATCCCATCATCACACTTGTATCGACAACTTGGCCTGTGCTAATGCCTGCAAGCTCTTGTCCACATGACTCCGCAACAGCTGCAGCCTCTCATCAGTAAATAGCAGCACAACTCGCATTCCTTCCTTCACGTCATGCGTCTGTACGTACCAGCTATTTGTAGCTACAAACATGACGGTGGCGCCATTTCTCGAGATTCGGAATGCCTGAGCTTTGTTGGCGCTTTCAATGTATCACACTGCTGCTGCACGTTTCCACGTTAAACTGCATCCTGTGTGACCCTGCAGTGCCAGAAGGTAAAGACACAAATGTGCGTGCATCAAAGCGATGGCAAACGCTCTTGTCTTGCTCAGGTCTCAGGTTCAGCTCAGCTGCAACTGTGTGGCCTCAAAGGGGCACGGGCGATAGACACTGTTCAGCATAGAGCATGCTAGAAATGCACAGCCACCCAGAATAGTCTGGCTTCGCAAGTTACTTCAAATGCTGTGAAGCAGCTCTGACAAGTCCAACCTGCAGCGATGAAAAATGACGAGAACTTCTTGCTATAAAACGATTTTGTTTCCAACTCCTCATCTGAACAAGACATGAATGCACAAGAGTGCTGCATGGCTGGAATGCCCCATTCTGAGGCGGCAGCGTTATTGCCAGCACCAGGTTACCAACAGTAGCTTTGGAAACAGGTGCACCCAGGAGATTCTCGTTGGCCTTGATTCTGCACATGACTTCGCTGCCACAGCAAGCCAGACGCTCACCTCATCTCCGCCGAGGTCATAGATGTGGGCCAGCCTGGAGCACAGAGAAGAGCTGAAGAAAGCTGCATGGCGAGCGCAGCAGCACGCAGCAGGACCCGATAACATGCCACCGTCTCTAATAGGCAATGCTTGCCGTGGTATGTTCACTTGGCCCAGCGCACTTTCGACGAGGATCCCTCTGAAGCGTATCGCGCAAATTTGTAGTCCTCAACAACACAGAACCTTCTCCTCTTCTGTGACGTGCAACAGACACTGGTGCTGACTGATGCCCCATTGAGGCAGTAGCGAGAGCAACGGTTGGTTTGGGTTGATCCTGTCACACAAGGCTCAGGGAACGGCACACTTCAATTTTTCTGTTTAGCGCATCTAACGAAATTCGCCTTCTCATCTTTGGTGGGATTGATGAATCGGTCGACTAAAGATGTCTTCCCCGACCTGACACGTTCAGAAACCGCGGATACCGCCAAGAAGGCAATGAGACAGGAATGCTTCTTGGAGCCGCAGAAGAGGATCGTCACATCCTGAGAAGAAAGGGACATCACATGGCTAGCTTCTTGCCAAATTTGGTCACCGGTGTTTGCTGGAACTGCAAGGTAAGGCTATACAGCTGGCACAGGTGAACGGGAAGTGAGAGTTGCACATTTGCGAATTCTTCACCTGCGCTTCGCTGACTATGTTCCTGCAGAGCTGCAGAGCATGCATGGCTGTTGTATGGCAAGAAGGCAGGCCGAAATGATGACGGCTCCTCAGTCAATCTCGAGAAAATTGAGCTAGAGAAGTCGTCGGCTTCCTGGCTGCACTGCACGGTCACTACACACATTCACCAAGAAAAGGCCCTTGCCGCCGCCACGTGCTCAAAGCTGCTTAGGCTTGCTCTCAGGCTGATTGAGCTAAAGGCTCTCCTATGTTCAAGCCCCTTACTTCTTGGGCAGTCCTTTTTTTTGGCTCTGGCCATGGGCTTCAGCTACCCAAGCTATGGCTGGCAGCTGCATACATCAGCCACCTCAAGCAAAATGCCAAGCCGTGAGATACAGCTTCATGCCAATCTGCACTCCCGCACTCGCAAACACATCGCAGGAACTCTAAGCAGGATGATGAAGTCTAGCCACCATGTCGCAAGTTTGGGAGCTTTAGGCCAGAACAAAGGCTCCTTTGGAGAGTTCTCTGCAGCCCTACCATTCTGGTAGGAGCAACTGGCCAGCACCTCTCAAATCGATTCTATTCTTTGTGAAGCTTGCAGGCTCTTCCTGCCGTAATCGCCTTTACCAGTGTACCCCAGCACGTAGTTTTCACCTGCTACGTTTCTCCGCTTTTGTAGATGTTCTACTAATGCCATGCTGATGCATTTGCCAGGAAGCAAGCAGCAAAGAGTCCGCGAGTCTTTTCGCAGCTTCAAGATCCCCACTGTCTTTAAGCAGAGATCTTGAAGCTGAGCCTCAATGCTGTGCATAAAAACACGATTTGTCGATGTACTACGCACCGCACGCTTCTTGGAAGCGCCTGACCTTTGTCTACAACAAGGGTCTCATGTTGGAGTTGCTCCTATTCTCAGGGCTATGTCTCATCACAACTCCAAGGAGTTCATTAACCGGCTGTTCTCTCAGAACCTGTGTCGCTGCGTAGCTTTCTCAGCCTGTCGCGTTGCAAACCTCAGACATACGCTTATCAGCCACAACAGGCAGGGCACCACCGGTGAAACAAGAGCGTTGCAACTTGCGGCTGGAATTGAGCATGTGGCTCCTTCAACTTCCGGAAGCTGCTGATGGGATATGGTAGCTCGCGCAAGTTTTGCTCTGGCCGCACACCGAGGAAATTGCTCAGCATCTCCATAAGCTCCTTTTTGCGGAAAGGAACGTTCTTCGGCACACTTGGCTGGGTCATGTGCTTTCTTTCAGGCGGCTAGGCGTCATTGGCATCCAGGTTTTTGATATATGAGTCCGAGATCGGCCAAACCCCGAGGAGTTCTTGCTGCTTGTCAAACGTGACCTGCAAGGCAATGCACAAATTCTTTCCAGCAGCTGCCACTCGCGCGAGTGCGAGCAGGCAATTTCAATTTTTGGCGCCCGACATTCTCCATCAATGAGAAGGGCTTGTACATGTGGACCATTCCGTTTGGTCCCGTCACCAAGGAGCGTAGTATTTGGAGGAACTCAAAGATGTCCTGCGCTCGGAGGAGCTGACTGCACGTACTCGCAAACATGGCAACAAAGCAACTTATACTAATGTGAAATCAAGCTGCTATCCCCTCTGTGCGTTCAGAATCGATAGATGCCCTCAGCGTGACAAGTCATGATGCTTGCAAATTCCTGAGGAAGCTTTGTACAAAAGGAACAGCATGCTTGTTTAGAATGGTTCACATCGTTTTCTCCCAGTGACAGCACATGCTTTAGCTGCTGTTCATCTGGCATCCGCACGATCAATGGAATCAGAACCTGTGCAAGCGAACAACTTAAGTATTAAGACTCACTCCTGTTGATGCGCGGCTCTCCTAAAATGACATTCGACTTGCTTGAACATCGTCTCTGCCACTACTGCTGCGCTCTTCGGGATTCTATGCATACCCAGGCCTCTCGCAGTTCAGCACGAGTCAGCTTGTTATCGCCATCCCTGTCTGCCATGTCGAAGGCCCCCTGTCAGGCGAGAGTCTCTTTGCAGGAGCAACTTAAGGGCTTGCATCATGCATACATGCAGAATGATACCGCCATGATTTACCATCACAGCTCAGGGAGGATTAGACCTGGATATCTGACAGCTCTGTCATGGTGAAGTTCAACGCTTTTGCGGCCTGCGCAAGGCGAAGGAGCTGCAGAAGCAGGATGTCCCCGGAAATGCAGCATGGCTCATATGACTGACTTGCTACCTGGCAGATGCGCTCGCCCAGGAGCTGGCTCAGCCGCTCCCAAACCAATTGATAGATGAGACAGAAGCCGTAGAAGTCGACACTTCCTTACCACGCAACTGTCGGAAATTCTGACAAAAGCTAGCCGCCTTCTGTATTGAGTACTTGCGAACCAACGCCGCTGGATAGAGACATGCGCAACACTTTGGGGAACAGAGCGAAAGAGCTTGGAAGCAAATGTCGGCATAAGTCCGCGGAGGCCTGACGTTTTTGGATGTCAGGCCCAGAGGTTCCTTATGTGTTCTCCTTCATCTCCCACCCCAGCACTTCGCGAGGTTTTATCTTGTGGCGGCGGGCCGCTCGTTTCACAACAGCGACCAAACCCGCACGCCTCCGACAATCCCCACCCAACCCCGTCCTACCCGCGCACCTTCACAGCATGATGGGACTGGGGCAAGAAACAAAACCAGGTCACTCCACAAAGCATCCCACATTGTTCCAGCAGAAGCCATGACAAACATTGACAAAAGGCGTTGCAAGTGCGGGCCCTTCCCTGCCGCCTTCGCTGAGGCGCGCTAGCAAGTTAGCGGCTAAAGTATCCTTTTTACTGTCCTGTCAAATCTCATTGGCATGGGTCAGTCTCGACAGAGCTTCCCTGCATACGCATTCAGAGCGCTTGCCTGTCTCTCTTTGACTTGTCTTCATGATCATATTGCTTGCATGATTCCAGCATCATCCGCCATCATGGCCTGTCGTTGCCTGTGCAGCATGAACGGCTCGAGCCAGAAAATGCCAGCATGAAATTCTGCACGGACCACAGGCCTCATTTTCCTGGGGCTCAAGCTGCTGCTCCGCGGAGACATTGCGGCAGGTGAGTCTGCCTCACCTGGGCAACATTCAATGGCAGACTCTAAAGCCTGAAAGTACCAGATCTTGCCCAAGCAAGCAGCTGCTTGGTTGCAGCACAGCCCGTAGATCAAATTCCTTGGGGGCAGAATGGGCAGCTGCTTGGCAACTTTGGCTTGCATCCGCCGGCTCGCAGCAGCAAAGGACTGCAAGGCACCTCATCCAAAAGTTCCTGTGCCAACGCGTACTCGCTCCGGGACCGAAGCAGACCCTCCTCTCGAGATCTCTCAGAGAGGCAGCTGGCTGGGGCTGACCTTCTGAAAACTTTCCCAGCCTGCGCCAGAGCTGCCACGATCTGATCAAAATCAAGGCAGTTGTTCCTTGGATTGAACGCCTGTCCTAAGTCGAATCCTGTACCATAAAGCGGGATAACACGCCAAAACACGCCGAACCAGACTGAACCGGGGTTCTGGTCTAGCTCCAGATTCAGGAAAACCCGCTGCAAACGAGATCGTCTCCGCTTCATCCTTTGGCATCTTCGGCAGTATGGCTCACCGAACGCGAACATGCAGGAACAGGAAACAGGATTCTCGACAATGTCATGCTGCCACGTCTCATGAATGATCGCAGGTGGTCAACCAGGAGGAGGAATTCATTGAAGTCAATCTCATCATCGTGGTTTTCATCCACTTGGCCAATAATGTGATCCACCCTGAGATTTGCATTTCTAGATACACATTCCGCTCTGAGATATCTGCCAAGGTACGTGTCGGCCACACTTCGTTTGTAGGGCTCCAGGCCTTGACACGCGTGGATTAAAATTGTTGATCCTTCTTCATTCACAAAGAGCCGTCTCATGTTTTTGTGCTTTCCAAGCTGCCCATGTACTTCAGCAATCTTCGAATTTCGTATTGGCCCAGGAATCCACTGTGATCTTCGTCATGGGCTGTAAACATCTCCCATAACCACAGCAACTCAGGCCTGACACGAGCACTCTGTAAGGTGAAAGTGTCTAACAAGTGCCAGATAGTGCCAACCTATGTTTCTTGAAGCGACCATCGAGGAGCTTGGCTTGTCTGGCCACTGCCTAGCGAGCACATGCGAGCACAAAAACAGCCTTCTGATTTGCTTGGCTTTTACACTTTGTTTGAACTAGTGTCTCTGCCAGGCTGCCCACTCCCGAGTGCTAGCAGCTCGCGCAGCCCTCTCCTCCAGCTGCAGCAGTCGGATGTGTACCTGGCGCTGGGCTGGATGGAGACTTCAGCCGACTTTGCATTCCATTGGCCGGCTTGTTAAAAGTTCGGAAAGCTGAAGTCCCCTTTTTAGGGATCCTGGGACGGGTGAGTTTACATCAGCCACATACTCAGCCCAGCAAGCCAACTAGAAAGACTGCTAGAGGCCATCTGCACAGGCACACGTACATCAAAATTCTTTGGTTACATGCGCACGAGAAAATAGAGGGCTGAAGATACATCACATGAAGTAACGGCGCGCAAAATGCCAGGAACTGGAGCCTCCCGACACAGCTAGACACAACGGTCCAGAACGCTTGCAGCACGCTACAAAATGCTACAAAATTGCGTATGCAGCTTGCACAGTATACACCTTAGCCAAGACTAGGTTTGTGGGCCATGGTTTCCATGAAGGAGAAACTCAAGCAAAAGCCCCGCCATCTCCAAGTCCAGGATCGTCTCTGGCCTGCATTCCACATTGTCTCAGCTGCTCAATCAAAATCGAAATCTGTTTGAGCCAAGTCACCCGATTTTCTGCTTCTCACGCTTGATGGCAGGTGGCAGAGGGCCTGGCATAGCTCATCCATTTCCCAAAATCTTGGAACTTGCAAGCCCGCCTTTTGCTTTGTCAAGCTCCAGCGATGCAACCAGCTTCTGAAACTGGTCGTAACTGAGGCCGCTGGGGTTTGGCGACGCCTCGATTTCCTCAATGCCAGTGACAGCTTTTCCCCATCATGAAGCTGCTAACCGTGCACAGATCTTAAGATCCCGTAGCCAGGCCTTGACAAAAAGTCGGAAATGTGGCTCAGTCCTTTGTCACACTGATGTTCCCTCAATCTGCGCCAAACGAGTGTTCCTTGCCTTTGCTCAAAGAGCTCCCATCGAGCTGCTGGTACCACCTTCGGATCGCGGCTATCGTCTCAGGGCTTGGTTCACCGGAAGCTTTGTCACTTGCAGGCCTCGGCCCCGAAAGCTTCGATTGGGATACCTGTCGGGCGTGGGGTCTTCTGTTCCATGGCGGCGACCAGTTCCTCTCGGCATCTCAAAATGTCAGAAACGAAGAAGCGATTCGTACCTCAATCTGGATTGTCCTTGGCAGCTTGCTCGTCTTTCATCGTCGACGACCTACAAGCGGCGCACTTGAAGTTGGATACGTTCCCATGGCTCAAGTTGCAGATGCTCATGCCTTTGCACACTGACGGAAGCTTGGCGAGGCTGCGTGGAGCTTGCCCGACGATTGTGCAGACGCCCTCCCCGAGCCTTGCCAGCTTTGGCAGGAGCAAACTCTCATTTTGGGGATGGCACAGCAGGCACCTGCTGCATCTGCGTCGGGGCCTTGGTCTTGGCCTGAGCCATGTGCGCCACAGGAAGTGCAGATAACCTCAGCCAAGTATGAGCTTACACTTGGTACGGCAACACGCATTAGCCACTAGCCGCAGCATACGTCAACCACAACCATGACAAACTTGTCCTCGAGCCGAGTATCTCTCGAGGGGTCCTCCACCACACCTGGGGAGCACCCTTGGGCGCAGCACCCCATGCGCCTTGAATGCCTTGCTCTTCAACGCCTTGGTTCAAGGCTCCAGTCAGCATCAGACAGTCCCTGAACCGGCCTTTGCAGCAGCGTCACTGATCAGCTCCTTGATGAGCGATGCAACAGCCCGTTCCACCACGCTGCGTTCAACCATGGTCCGACCTTCACAATAAAACGCATAACAGCAGCAGCAGCCAACAGCCCACAAGAACACGCCAACAAAAAGAGAGAAAAGTGTGAGTTCACGAGACGGCAAGAAAGCCAGCCTCGCAGGCCCATGTCGCGCAAGGCATCCAGGGCAGCTTCGGCAGTGAGTGTGTAGAACTGGTTGCAGTGGAGTTTGAAGGCCTTCCGTCAAGCTGTAAAAGTATGAAAATCATTCCAATGCCACCCCTCCTGACTCTGAAGTCTCCTGCAGTCTCCTCAGTCTCCTAGGGGCCTTACAGACTCGGTGGCTGCCCGCTCTGCTTGAGGCAAAGCTTTCCAAACGGCCTGAGGCAAAGCAATGCAAGCATCAAATTGCCAACCCTGCAGAAGAACATTTTGAATATGCCCTGGCATGTTGGCACGCCTCTCGAAATCGCCTCTTCCGATTCATGCGGTCAACAAACTTCTTCTTCTCCTCCAGTTAAATCATGAGGTGTGACTTGCTTGATTCAATGCAGACTACTTCAGCACAGTAGCGCGAATACCGTTGATGGCCGCATCTTTCACCCTCCTGGGATGGGAGCGCGAGCAGTCAGTTCCATTAGCCAAGGCTGAATTGCTTTGGGCTGACTGAACCGCGTGGAAGACCGGCAACCTGAACCCGCGTTAACTCGCCCCCAGCGAAATATAGAATTGATACACTTCGAAAGCTGCCTATCAATAGACAAGTAGGACTTTGTTAGCATGGCTGAGTCATGTGTGAGGCCAGAGACTACGCCACCCCTGCAACTCCTGCATTCGTGCGGAGGCATGAAAAGCAAAACTTGCCAGGAGAGCAGTTTTTCTACCAGATGCATGCAAGAAAACTACGACAGGAGAGATGTTACAGCCACAGCGAGAATCTTTCGCAGTTGTCTGGAACGTTCAGACAGCTTCTTCTGCTCCAGCTTGACCGACCCATCCTCCTGCATGCTGAACTTGGTGCCCTCGTGTCGAACAGGACCGGAGTTAACTGCTGATGGGGGTGAGGCGCAAAGCATCACAAGCTCCTCGGAATCAGAGCCGCTCATCAGGCCATCATATTCGGAACCCTGAGGCTACAAATGTTTAAGGGAACATAAGAAGCCCGTCCTTTCATGCGGGCCTCTTTTGGGTCAGCATCCACAACAGGCAATGGGATAGAGCCGGAAAGTTTTCCCAGCACCTGAAAGAAGGAAATCCTGCTTGTGTGGTGACTGCTTTGTTGATGCGGCCTGCTGCAACCGCTGATTCCTTTCCACTTCTCGTGCCTTGACTGTTGACAATTCATCAAATTTATCGTGCCTGCACGTGCCAGCTCAGCTCACCGCATCCGTAGGTTGTGCTGCCGCCGCCTGACTCGGACTCTGCTCTCGCTTGTTGTCTCTTTTACACTGCAGCGTGCGGCTATATACCTCCTTGTGATCAGGGCTCTCAGCATCTCGACGTTGGCGAAAAGCAACAGCTGAACGACGCGCTTTCTGTCCCTCCTCCTGCAGCATTCGCCAAGAATCGGCTCTAGTAGTGAGAAACGTATACCAGGAAAGAGTGCACAAGCCAGGCTGCAACACAAAGCGCCTCGATCACACGCCTTCTCATCTGTGCCCGCACGATATTCTGTCGCTCCAGCTCACGCTGGACCACAGGGACCTGCAACATATCTAGACGGGGTCTTGTGCCAGATATAATCCCTACACCTAACTGGGTCGGCCCCCCATGCCCGGCGAAAAATATTAAGCAAACCCACGGGTTTTTAATAATATATAATAATATATATATATATACAATAATATAATAATATATAATAGTATATAATAATATATAATAATAGAATGAATTAATATATAATAATATACTATATAATATAATAATATATGATAATTATATAATAATATATCATCGTCGTATAATATAATAATATAATAATATAATATCAGAG